TCAGACTTTAAGCAATACAAAAAGCAGGACTAAAACACCCTACCGAACACCACAAGATCCAACATAAAAAGAACAGGTTTTTTTGCTGGGTATCATCAACACCTTTTTTTTAATATTTTTTTAAAAGTCTTCAATTTTTCTACCAAATTGATTATTTTTCAATGGAAGAAAAATGTTATAGATGCTTTTCTTCAAAAAAAAGCCTTAGTGAATAATTCTAGCTTTAAAGATTACAGACAAATTATCTCTTTCTTATTTTCTGCTGAGATTCCTGACTTTTCTAAGTCTCTGGATTTCATCTCCCACTATTGGAGATAAAAAATAAAACCTTCTTGCTTATGAATTTTTAAAACGTGAAATACAAGTGCAAGATGAATAGAATTTTGAACATACTATTACATTATGAGTGATTACCCAAAAAATGTAGGGGACACATACAAATAATTACATATTTAACATGATTGTTAACCCCATGTCTCAAAGATATTTTTCCCTGATGCTTTATTCTGCACTCCTTTGGTCATAAGTTAGTATGATACATCCTTCTTTTCCTCGTACTTGTTTTCTTCCTTCAAAAAGGAGGGGAAACTCCCTACATTTGTTCTCTTTGTTTATGCACCAGTAACATATCTATACCTCATCTGCTATTTATTTTTAACTTTTTTTGCCTCGAATCCACATAAAATGAATATTCCATATAAACCACATTTTCTCTTTATAAACTATAAATAACTTTTATCAAATGCTGCCAATTAAATGTAGGAATTTCTGATATTTTGACTCATGAAGCAAAAGCAGTGAGCTGAAAGCTTCACAATGTACATTTCATGTCTAATTATATGAGTTATTTAACTTATTACCTTATGCTGGTAATCAAGTTTTTTCATGTAGCAATTTCCAACTGAAATGAGCCCTGTTTTTAACATTAGTTCTGCAGGACAAAACCTCAGGTGGTTGAGTGTTCGTATAGTTACCCTCACTTTAGGTCAGTCTTCCTCCATTTATTGAGGAGCAGGTGCTGAGAGAGCAGCGTATGATATTCTGGAATAGGTAGGTTGTGTTTTGGGGTGAACACGAGTGGAGAAGCCTGGAATCATCGACTGTCAGAATCTTTTCCAGCTGGCATCAGGGCCTGTGTTCAGAGGCTTCATGACTAAAATCAAAGCACAGAATCCCAAAGAATAGATCAGGCTGGAAGTGGCCTGTGGAGCCACCTGGTCTAAGCCCCTTGCTCAAGCAGGAACCACCCAGTGCTTCTTGACAAGGACCACGTCCAGATGCTTTTCTAAGGGGGACTCTAAAATCTCTCTGTAAAAATGTGCTTTCTGTTGGACTCCTTTACCCTCCAGAGCTTTGAGCTTTTAAATCACCTAAATATTTACATATCCAAAAGAGGCCTTGAAATTGCCTGGAAATTACCTCTAACAAAAGGACAATGTCCACAAAAAATCAAAAAGCCAGACTAGACAAGCAGATGACAGATGGGTAAAAAAATGTTCTCTCTGGTCTATCTTCTTTCTCTCTGCATTTAGAACAAACATGCAAATTTAAAATCCTCCTGGCTAAGGCAATACTCCTATTTCAGTTTTTTTAATTTGAAGTACTCACAAATTCATAAAGGATAGTACATATAAGTCAAAAAAGGTAGGGAACATGCTACTATTTCACTACTTGATGGTAATAAATACAAGACAGGAATGTAAGCTTGTTTTGATTAGCTAGAAAACTGAGAAGTTCAGTATTTTTTCCTCTGTGATACATCCACTAACATTTCAAACAACCAGACTAGTGGGCTACACAGGAAAATCACTAATGGGGACTTTGTCATCTCAAGGTAGAGTGGGGATTTTTTATGCAGAGAGCATTTCAGCACCCTCAGGAGACAAAGGACTGGCTCATATAATCCTGAACCAAACATGCTACTGAAACATCTATCTTTTGACTCAGATGGGACCACAGTGACATATTTTGACTATTTTTAATTTACAAGAGGGTATAATTTCTTCACACTAAATATAGCAAAGAGAGAAAACAGAATGCAATAATAGTATTGCTAAATCAGTTCCTCAGAGCCCTCAGAATGTTCGAACTGGATGAAGTACAATTTACAAAGATTTTAAGCATGGGAGATTTCTAAACAGAAAGTTTCCAAAAGAGGAAAAGAACATGAAGCTGGAAGTCAGTCAGATCCTCTACACAAAAGATGCATATCTGAGGTAATGAAAGTAAAGACAAAAGCTGTGTTTTATTCCTGCCACCAATAGGTTCAGGATTGAAACAGGAAATCACTATTTCCTCAGACTTCTACAGCATGAAACAGCTATTTCTTTTCTTTTGATATATATCTACCTCCAAGTAAAGCTCAAAAAGCTAGCTGCATCACTGAGGATGGAGGATTTGTTCCACAACTACTTCTGCTGATTTCCCCAGATGGGGAAGAGGAAAGCTGGAAAAGCCCTTAGTCCTTCTGTTTCTTGTGTTTTGCTGTGCCTGACTCTGATCCTGAGTGAGGATGATGCTCATGAAGTTCGTGTGTGCCTGTATTTCTTATAATTTCTGTTATGACTCAGCACTGCTCAGAGCCAAAAATAATCAGCTGCTGCACAGTATTTAAAAAAAAAACATCCAAAACACCACGAGGTGCAGTACTGCACGTCAGAATATTGCTAAAACTGAAATTCAGGAAAGGGCCTTAGGCAAGTCTGGCTTGCAGAGGTTCTGTGTGTTTCAGTGTGCTAGTGGGATGAAATTTAGCACATAAGAGTACTTTGTGGTTTGTTTGTAGGCTGGGTTGCTTTTTTTTTAAACATAAACAACCAGCAGTATAATGTTGCCAAAAATAATTCTTCAGGGATTCTTCTGGATGGTTTGCTGTTTATGCCACATGAGTCTGGATTTTATCCTTCTGTGCATTCCTTCCCACAGTTCAAAACAGTACAGATTTTTTCACTGAAACAATAGATTTCGGATAGGAAAAAAAAGCTAGAAACTTTGAATTACCCTCTATGCCTAAAATGATGTTCCATCTGACTGTTGTACTAAAAATATTAATATATATTTCAGATTATTAATAATACTCCTTTCAAAACAGGCCTGTGTTGTCAGAGGAAGAAGGGAAAGTACAAACGATTGAAGGTATATGGTCAGTTGAGACATGACACTGATGATGCCTGAACCAAGAGAAGTCTTGGATTTATTGCAATGATTCAATGCAGAGATCACGATACCATTGCCTAAACCGTTAATGCCTCAACTCTCAAACTACCGCATGCGTGAGCTGCATTTGGTCAAATACATCTTCTCAACCTCCAAAAAAACCCAAAAAATCACGCTTTGGGCACAAGGTTACCTTAAACTTGGCAATCAGAATCCATTCTAACTCTTTCCTTTGCAGTTTGGAAAGCCATTCACTCTCCCATTTAAAGTATATATAAATGCTTTCTTGATTATGGATTTAAGCACAGGCTGAAGCCTTTCTGGTTTGAACACACAATGAAAACACATGCTGAACTCCATTTTGAGCAGCACTTCTGCTCTGACTCCAGGGCTCTTAGTCAGTCCTATTTCAGATGGGAGACATTGCTGAAATATCTGAGGGAAATCTGAGTCAAAACTCTATGACTGTATGAGGTCTATTCTTACTGATAGGGAAATTATAAAAGTATTGTTCATGCTTCTCCCTGTAACAGCATAATCTTTTTTGACACAAAAAATACTCTGCTTCTATCATACAGAGAACTCCAAAAGCAACTCGTAACTAAAAATCTCAGCTATTTGCAGACCAGCTTTATTTTTATCATATCCAAAAACTATAAAGAACTGTGAGCAAGAGACATACGGTGTGTTCTATAAAGAGCAAGCAACTGCTTGCCAACAAAGTTGTTATGATTAATTGCCAGTTCAACAGAAGGTAGGAAGTTCTGAAGCACATAAGAAGGGAAAAAAGTGGACTGGGAAAATTTGAGAGGGTCAAGCTATTTAACTGGCTTGAAATTATTTGGTAACTAATTAATGCATAAAAGAGCATGATAAAGGTGGGTTAATTCACAATGCTTGGTGGATAATTACAAGTCAATGATGTGCATTTCAGACGAAGTAAGCTTCCTTACATTTCTTCTTTATGTAGGTGTAGAGGTGAATAATCAGACTAGGTAAATGAAACTAATCTAAAAGTAACAAGAATTACCTATACTCACTTATGAAACTAAATACAAGAGACTTAATATGAAGCTGAAAACTTTAAGAAATCAGCTGCTCTTCAGTTGCTTCAGTTCACACACACTTACATTAAAAGCATATCTAGCCTACAAAGTCAAAATTACAATTTTAATACATCCTACCCTTATTCATATGTGCTGTGATCTAGTTTGTCAAAGTTCTTTGCTTTTATTCCCTGCACAAGGTCTATGAGACCTTTTGAATAAACACTTAGACCAGTTCATTCTCCTCAAAGCAGGCCTGAGGATTTCAAATCATGAAAAGATTTGGGCTGGAAGGGAACTCAAGTAGTCGCCTAGTCCAAACTCCTGCTCAAAGAAGGTCTAATAAGATTAGGTTACTCAGGATCATGCCCAGAGAAGTCTTGAACATCTCCAGTGATGGTAATTCCACAGTCTCCCAGGGTAACAGAAGCTGTAGACAGCCAGTAAGGTCTCACTGAAACATTTTCTTTTTAAGGTTGAGCAAGTCCAGCTCATTCAGCTTTTCCTAATTCATTGTGTTTCAGGCTCCTGATGATCCTCTTGGCCTCCTGGACTCCCTTCAGCATGTCAGTAATATCCTTCTGGTACAGGGAAAGCCAAAATTAGACACAGGATTCCACCTGAAGTTTCACCAATGCCAAATATAGGGGGTGGATGGCTTTCCTTGACCCTGCTAAGAACTGAAGTAGTTAGTTGTCCTCAAAACAACCTACACTAGCAATTGCATTTGCAATTTACTCAGGGAAACAAAAACATGTCTACACTTTTTACTAATACATTCATGGATGCCTCTGCAAGGCCATGCTGTTGACCCATGACTTGTAGCCCACTAGGACCTCCAGATCCATTTCTGCAGAGTTGGATCTTTTCCTCAGCCAGATGAGCCTCAGTCTGTGCTGGTACCCAGGATTATTTCATCCCAGATTCAAGAGCCCATGGTGACTTTTATTAAACTTCATGTGCTCCTGTGCAAAAAGCTTGTGGGAGCCTGTGTCAAAGGCTTTGCTTTCACACAGAACAGCCACTGCCCTCTCCTTCCCTACAGCCTCAACCACCTTAGCACAGGAAGCAAAAGTTTGGTCAGGCATTATCTGCCTAATTTGCCCTGGTTCATCTAAACCCATGTTGTCTGCTCCTCACAACAATCTTGCCTTTCATGTGTTTAAAACATGTCTCCAACCTTTCCAGGGACCAACACTAGGCACCATAAAAACCCAATTAGCCTGTCATTTAACTGTGACGTCCACAAAATTCAGACATTTCATTTAGGATTACCAAATTTAGGACTTGTGGATGAAACGAAACTTTCTCTTCAATGCACTGAAGGGCTTCTTCCTTCTTAAAAAATAATACTAGTGAATCTAAAGAACTATAACAAGGCAAGGCAAACCAGCTGAGGTGGAGCATGAAATTACATTTCTTAAATATCATAAAGACTGGGTTAATTTTGTACCACTGGCCATTCTTGACTTTGGTCACAAGAGTGGATTCATTTGCTGATTTCTTGGTCAGTGGGTTAAATCTGGTCAGGATGACTTTAATCATTACTATCATTACTTCCCTGTGAAAGGTTGTTATTACTCAAAGGTGACAGGAGCAGAAAGAATACATAGCTTACTGCTAATTTGTGTCAGTTATACATGAACTCAGAGCTTTCCTTTGTTCTCACCCCCATGAATTCAAATTGCTTTCAGCAGGCAAGCCCAAATTTGCTATTTAACATGACAATTACTCTTTTGTCTACCTTTCTCAAAACTGCCTTCTTTGCAGCTGGTTTTTTCCTCCCCTGCTTCTTTGGTGTGTGACACCAGAGATGTGTCTATTTTACAGACAGGAAGGTAGGTCTTTGCCAGGAATTCATAATCCTCTTCTTCCATCTGTACTTATCTTCCATTTCAAACTCTTCTAATAACCTTCTGGTTTTCTACATTTGGCTTGCTTGTAGAGTAAAAAGAAAAAACAAACCAAAAACAAAAACCAACCCAGGCTGACTTAGTCATCTATGTAAATCAGACATTTAGACATTTTGCAAACTGATTCTTCCAAGTTGAATAAAAATGTTATTATTAGCTTATTTAACATATGTCATCTGCATTTCATGCCAAGTGCTGGCCCTGAACACCTTTCAAGGACATAGCACTGATAGTAAAGGCAGCACTTCATCACAGAAAGATTTTACTTTTTTTAAGTGGAGAATTTTTGACCACTTTGGAAATTTAAATCAGTGTGTGCTTTTGTTCAAACCCCAGACAGCTGAGATGAAGTGACTGGTCTGCATTCAGTGTGCAGAAGTCCAGACATGCCCCTTACAGTCATCTTCTTGAACTGAAAATGTCTACCTCCAAACAAATGAGAGGAATGTACCTAGGTTATATAAAGCAGGAAAAGAACAATTCTTACCATTATTATACATATGCTAGATTTATCAGTGATGAGAAGAGTTGTTGTATTTTTTTATCCTGTTTCATTAGAAGGATAAGAAATAGCAGTTGAAAAGCTTTCCTAAGAGAATCATTATTCTGGATTAAAAGTGCGGTTTTTTTCCTTTGTTTTTTCTTTTTTCTTTTTTTTTTTTTTTCTCTTTCCCTAGTTAAAGAAATCATCAGCCAGAACAATGGATATTTTTTTCTTAGTAAATGTATAGCAGTGAAAAGTCTTTGCACTCCAGACCTCTTGTAACGAAGAGCTAAAACAGATTCCCACAGTGCTTTATTTTAATCTGTTCTGGATCAATATAAGTGAACACTGAATATTTATATCAATTTCATTTTATTTAGGAAGGAAAGAAGGACCTAGATACTCTGCTTGTAAGTCAGATAAGCCTAAATTCAAAACTATTTTCAGATGTGGCAAATTTTAGCAAATATTGTCCATTTCTAATTCTTAATGGACTTAGGTCCAGAAGCACAAACATAGGAGATGAAAACCAACTTTCCTGCTCAACTTATTAATCTGAAACTATGGAATACTGGAATTTTTAATCAGAAGCCTGAGAACATATCATCAGACGATTTTTTCCATTTCTTTTTAAAGAACACTTTGAAAAGCATAGTTAATTTCTGTTTCATATGTTAATATCATATTAAATTGCTTTATTGCTTTGTGATGTACAGAAACTTTGACGTTGGCTTCTTTATTTTATTTCAAGAATTCTTAATTCTTTTAAGCTTGAAAAAACCATCTTCCACTTAAATAAGTTGATTGCAAGCATTTTCAGTAATTGAATCCCTAGATATTTGTCTTTGTGCTGGGAGGTTTCATTTAACTTTTAATGGATTTTTAATGCTGAAGCAGTTTCATTTTAAACTGTTGTCATAAAACATTTTAGAATTTTTGTTGAGGGGTTTTTCCCCAAAAACTTTTTTTTTTTTAAGCAGAGGTTTAAAATGACATTATTAAAAGAAATACTATAAAAACATTCTGAGAGATTAAAATTAATTCTATAAGACAGAGCTGTTAAGGCTATCATGCTGTCAATCTGTTGTAGAGAGTAAAAATACAGATTTTACGTTTAAATAATATTGCAGATAACTGGAGTGCATCCTTCTCTGCTGGGAACTGAGGTCGAAAGAGCGAGCAGTCTGCAGAGGGGAGGAAGGATACAGGAATGGCAACATCCTCCCACAAGCCTGAGACACTGAGTCCAAGGACAGATGAGTTCCCTAAAGCAGCATTTGGGAAATGAGAGATGTTGGTGAGGGCTCCATTGTCCTTGGGAGGAAGAGGCTTGAAGACCTTGATGTTCATCAAGATGAATGCTTTATAAATCAATGTACCCAAGAACTACTACCTGAATGTATTCTCTGGGTGCAGAGAACAGGAATGCAGTTGGTGGTCCCAAACCATCAAGTCGATGCAGCTGAACACTTGTTAGCTGAGCTATGGCAGACTCTGATCAGCCTGATTTGCAAAGCATTTTGAAGAGGTGAGCATATTCTGAGAATATTTTAAGGATAGGACAAGCCTTGCATGGCTGCCTCTTCTATTAATCATTCACACAGATCATGTTTTCAACAGGCAGTGAAAAAATCTGCAAGTGTTCTCAAGATACAGGACAAGTGCCTGGTTCATAACAACACAGATAGTGCAGATCTGGATAGGGAAACATCCAAACCCCTTCAGCTATCACAAACATGAAATTTTGTTCTTCACAGGGCAATAACAGAAAGAAAAAAAATACACTTGTTTTAATATGAAAATGGCATTTGGCTACTTACTTACATAATCTGGCCCTTAAAAAATATCTTCTATTTTCATCATTGTTGCAGTGAAATTATTTCTTCTCTTTGTACATCTTTCAAACTCTCATACATCAACGACCAAAGATCAGAGTATGATAATCTTCAAGGAAGTGTTGATAACTCACTCTTATTTAAAGTTGAAAAATCAGGACTTACACATATTGATGGGGATTTTTTTCAGGGGTTTGTTTTTTTTTTCCCTAGTAAATGATTTCTAAAATGAACTCAGCTCATCCTAAGCAAGTTTCCTCTAAACATAATCCAAGTTAAGACATTTTACAAAACACAGAATGTGTTCTTAAGTTCCTGTATTCTGTTCATCCTTTGTCTTGCTTCTGAGTCATAGGAAAATTGTTCAACAGGAAGAAAACCTGTTTTAGCTCTTGCTTGTATCTGTCAGCTAATCCTGTGATCATCCTTAGCAAGGTTTTCCTCTGAAGTCAGAGAGCAGGTACAATGAAATCAGAATTCTGGATCTGGCCTCATTGTGCACATTCAAAGGGTGTCTGGAAGATGAATAAGCCAGACTGACCCTTACAATGACACATAACCATTCCCAGACATTTTAGCATATTACATTATTCCAAAATCTTTTGAAAATACCAGTTTTGGGACACTGTTAAGGTTTTTAACAAAGAACTCTCTAAATGCATTTTAAAACATTTTAAGCCTTATATGACTAAAAAGGACACATGAAAAATTAAGTCATTGTGACTTGGCCATGAGGGCATACATTTATTTCTGACATTTACTGTTATTCCCATGAAACTCATAAATATTGCAGACAAATAGCTGGTTGAACAAACATTGCATAGCTTAGCTTCTTCTATAATTTAGAGGGTTTAAGTTAGGATTTGAAAAATAAAAACTTTTTAAACACTTCTTCTTTATTACTTTGCAGTCTTCAAATAGAAAACTATGGACCCCACCATGTTCTGCTCCATCCAGGGAACAGTTCATCAAAAACAATTTCTATTAAAACTAATCAGTTCTATAAGATTACAGATTGATGACAAATATCTTTATTACTTTGGCTATATTATTTCCTTCACCTTGCTTTGGGATGCATCATTTAGTAATTCAAGGCCATCACAGACATTTTGCCTCCTGCCACAGTTTATTTGTATATGTCAGAAATATTTCCCGATACTCCTAATATGTGCCTCTTCTTTTTCTTTCTCACTATTCACACTGCTAAATACTACAGCAAAAGAACTTCTAAGCCTTATTTTTCCTGCTACCATTTTAGCTAGTCCCACTATCTTAAAATCAATGACACTTAGAAAAGTGTGTCAGATGCAACAATAGTATTGAAGAGTATAGAGATGTCGTACACTTGATTTTCCTCCACTCATTTCAAAATATGTTATATGTATTGTTCACTTCTGCTGGAGGGTGGGCAGAAATTGATAGTGTTATTTAGGTTTGCTCCCTTTGAGATGTTCTGCTTACTGAGCATAGTGCTTGTGCTCAGTAATTGATGTATGGCATTATGTGGGCAAATATGTGTTTATTTACTTCAAGTTACATTTTCCTGTCTGCTACTTCTGTTTCCTTATGAAATGTTTCCTAGTCCTCCATAATTTCCACCATCTCTGCTGAAGGACTCTTCTTCAGTCATATTACTTGCTTTGTCCTGTTTTTTTGTTCTTTCTCCACATCAAATGTCTGGGTTTGATTGGTTATATATTGGAAGTTAATTTTTATTTAATGTTGATTTGGACCATTTTTCCTGGTACTGAGATAGAGCCGTGTGGCTTTTGTGATGAGCAGTCCTGTCTCACTTATCTAAACCTTCTAGAAGTTGAGAAGGGTATTTATATGGGCTTGACTATTGCTTTTTCAGAAGGGTTTTGGCCTTCACCAAATGTCCTTAAGAAAATAACGACTGTATAAGAAGAAAGATATTTGCATGAGTATATAATTGGTTAAAAGACAGAAAAAAGAAGATAAATGGTCAGTAAATGGTCAGAAAGCTGTTCATCACCTTTATAAGCAACTTCAGAATAGTATCAATGAGAGGTGAGGTATCACTATTTACAAATAATAAATTATTCAGGATGGAGCAGCTGCCAGGAATTACAGGAGGTGCTGAATAACTGTTTAAATGTATCTTGCACCCAGATACTCTATATGCAGTTTTATTTGCCTCATCTCAAACAGACAGGACTGACGAAAGTTCATAGAACAGAGATCATAGGTGTAGAGTATCTTCTATAAAAAAATTAATGTGCAGACCAGAACTCTTCAGCCTGGAAAAGATCAAATATGTGACAGAGGCATGTAGACCCATAAATATCCCAAAAAAAACCCTTTTGTTTATTTTCTTTCCCAATAGATTAACTACAGTTTATTAACTGAAACTCCCAGGAAGCAAGTTCACACTGAAAAAAGAGGGTGAATCCTTATTGAATGTGTAGTTAAACTGCTGGAAACCCTTGCAACAGGATGATATGAATTCTAACCATTTACATGATCTCAAGGGGATGCTGTATAAAATCACGGACAAGAATTCCAGCTGGGCTGTTAAACACAAAGTTTTATCTAAATCTCTCTGGAGATGTCCTCAAACTGCAAATTCTTGTCAAGAGTGTAAAGCAGGAGGTGTCTCTAGAGACTTGCAATCCCCAGGGACCTCCTGTTGGCCACCACTGGCAGCAAGACACAGGATGAGATTATATACTGGTCAGCAAAGTCACAGAAAGACCCAGTAGCTGTATAGTGAAGCTAAGAAAGTTGAGATTGACATAGTTTTTAAGTCCATAAGGCTGCTTATGTTTGGAAACCCTTACTACAGCCACAGCACACTCCTGCTCATTGGCAGCTCTCAAAGAAGTGTGGCTTTTCTCAAATCCCAGCCTTTTGTGCAGACACCACGGGGAAGACACACACAAAGGTTATAAGTTTGATGTGGCATTACCAAGAGGATAGATTTAAATTCTAGCCTAGAGTCTGGGCACAACTTCAGTCTGAAGAGCCCCTGAAGAGTCTCAGCCCCTGTCCTAATGTGGTCGGTGAAAGACAGCTTAAAGAATTGCCCAGACAGCCCCATGAACTGCATTCAGAGAGGCCCTTCCAGTGGGAGTCAAGTCTGTGGTTTTGGGATATTAGGGTAACTATTTAAGACAGTAAGTGTAGCTTCACAGGCTTGTATATTAAAAATGATCATATAATTCTTCATCAAGAGTCAGTTAACATATGATGATCCATACCTTTAATTTCTGAGCAGAGTAATTTTTCACAATCTACTCAATTTGAAAGTGGCATTTATTTAGAATACTCTCCACAATGAGGATCAATATGTGGGGTTACAAGCTCACCTTTGAGGGTTTTAGTCCCAGGAAAATCAAGATGATTGTGTGTAGAACAGCTATGATTCATATTAATAAGAGTAGAAATGTGCTGTGAGTGTGCTTTATTTTTTACTTCTAGAAATAAGCAAGGGTTCTGAAGGGCTCAAAACCTAAAATTTTCAAAAAAGCTTGAGAATTAAAAATTGCTCTTTTAGGAAACTCATAGCAATCAACAGAAATTTTATACCATCCAGAAAGGTCACAGAGTTCTAACTTTGCAGAAACAATATTGCTGGGAGACAACTTCTAAGTATACTTTTGTCATGAAGATGTATTAATCTCTTAAATGTCATACTTTTCCTTTTAAAAAATAATAAGCAAAACATAACTGCAGAGAAAGAACATCCTTTCTTTCATTGAAACAAATTTATTTTAAATTTTTGCACTTGAAAAATCTGTGTGCTATCCATTGGCATCTTGATAATGCTACATCCTTCATGAGTTTAATAATTTTTGCACCTCAGTATAAAGACAGAAATAATTTATATTAATCTCAGTAAAGTACAGATCATTGCGAGATTATTCCCTGATTCCCTTTTCACAGTGTACTGCATTGGCAAAACTGTGATCTCAGTGAACAAACGCAATCTGTTTTGAATTATGGCCTTGATTTTTTGAGCAGCTCCTCAGCACTGTAATCTTACAAATCAAACCCAGTCTCCCTGTTGATAACAAGAGGATAATTTACTTCACAGGAGGGGTATAAGGGTGGAACTGATCCAGCCAGCTCCTATATCTGTAACTTGCTCTATAGGCAGAGGAGTTCAATACCTGGAGGAGTGCCTGGCTCCGCCCAGTGTTAGCAAAGGGTTTGGAGATGAAGCACAAAGTACTATTTTTAAAGGATACATTGAGTCTTCAACTGTGAAATCCCTGCTGCTATGTAAAGAAAACATTAATTTTCCTTTAAAAGAACAGTGTGTGAGTTAAACATTTCTGGTGGCAGGACTATGCACAGCATGTGGGCCCTAAGCACAGATATACAATCTAGCCTAGAATGCTCTTTCACATAGTGACCATACTCGTACTCTTCGGTTGAGCTAAACACAAAGAACTTCAGAGCTGACATCTACAAATGTACTTTGACACCTGACTTGTGTAGCATTAAGCACCTAAATACCTCATAGGAGATGGACCTTATGTCTTGTGGCTGTTGCTTAGCTGGGATGTAAATTTAGATGAACAAAGCCTCCTTCCACAGAAATTATTCAACTCCTGTCTAACCCTGGAAGTGCTTCAAGTCCTTGGTGAGTCTGATTTTTAACCTTGGAGCTCCAAAGAGACATCCAAGCATGCGCAGAAATTTCTCCTTCTTAATGTTTCTAACTCCGTATTTTCCCACACAAATTCCAGCCAAGTCCGCAAACAGTATCCCACTTTTATTCCCTGTACGAATCTTGCAAGCAACACCAAATGAACCAGCTCACACTGCCTCAAACCTAGACTTTAAAGCAAAGCCAAAGGAAGATGGTTTTGCCCCCATCCCATTAATTTAAATATCAGCTCCATTTCTAAGGCTTTTATTCAGGGAGACCACAGTTCAGTCCTTCCCATCTGGTGTGGTCAAGTCCACCTCCTCTGATTTAAGTAATCAGTCAGAATATTATGCACAATAAGGAACAATAAGGAATACTCCAAATATTTCCATAGAAGCTATACTCATAGAATGCACAGCTAATTGGGACAGTCTGTGTGTGGCTCTGTCATTGTTTTTCTCTTACTGACATGAACTACGGTGACCCATGAATCAGAGAGTCCACATACATGCATTGTGACTAAGGAAGAGGAAACCAAACTATAATGCTAATTTTCATCTGTTATCAGGTTGATTAACTTCCTTTCAGTTACAATGATATCACTGACATCAGTGAAATGGAAAAAAACCTAGCAACATAGAGCACATTTACATTTCACAAATACTGCCATGCAAGAAGTTTGGTCATGAATAGACAGCAGAGAAAAATCGTGCTTTGGGCCACTATGGTTACATCGCTGTCTCTGCCAGGCCTAGCCCATCCAAAATGCTTTCCCAGGTAATCCTGTCCCTGGCTACCACATTGGGTTTTTTTACAGTTTTTGCAAATAAAACTTTTGTAAAGATAAACATTGAAAAATAAAATACAATCAAACTCTCAGTACCTTAATTTTCTTCTTCCATTGTTTTGTTCTGTGCATCCATGTTATATGTGAACCAGAAGGGACCTGCCACTTTTAATGTCAGAAGCATCTGAAAAATTGAAGAGACAGAGTCATATTAATTCTTTGTTTTGTGGCTGTCTCTCCCATTTAGGTGCAAAAGGACTGCTGGTACTAAGTACCAAAACTCCTGTCTATTATATTAATAACCATGTTCTCTCTTCCTCTCTGGTCAAATACAGGGTTTCTCTATCTCAGATTTTGATTCATGTGCTATAATTTCCCCATAGGTGTCACTCATCTGATGTCACTCATCTGACAGCATGCATTCAAATTACATTTCACTTTCTTCTGAGTGCAAAAAAAAAAGAAAATCCCCAGTCACACATAAAATATTCATGTCACAATCTCTGCAGAGTGATTGTGTCCTTAAAGTTCAGACATCGCCTCACCCCGGGGGTTGTATATACCAGTTTAGATGGCACACACTGTTTTCAGACATTCCTGTGGATCTAACAACCTCTGGTTTGATTTTCTCGTACTGTCATTGTGTACCATGTGAATAAATATCAGCAATGTAAATTGTCTGAAAAGCTGATACAGCTGATCTCATTACATAAAAGAGAAGGCTTTTTACTTAAGGAAATGATAGAAGAATTAAATGTCTATAAAGCTTTCTTGAGAGCTGTCAGGCAATCACTGCACTCATGAGGAATCTGCAGAGTCTTCCTTCTGTGAAAATCACTCCTTTCAAATCTGTCCTACCTATGTATCTCAGCATGGAAACAGATAGCTGCCTGTAACTGCTACAGCAGTCACAAGAAACATGATCCAGCTCCACCAAATCCAGAAGTGATAGTCTCCAGACATCACTGGGATTTCCACTGGGTTTGTGAGAGACCAGGTATGACAGTGGCT